TATATATAATTGTACTGTATTACATATGTTGTATGTGTAATTCAGTATATTATTGCATTATTTTTTGCATGTATAGTATTGAATTTTATTTCCTAACATTTTGTTGCAGATTTTTGTTTTGCTGTTCATGAGAAATACTGATCTGTAGTTTTCTTGTAATGATCTTGTCTTTTTTGGTACCAGAATGAAATTTTATTTTATAAAATAAGTTGGAAGGTATACCTTTTCCTAATCTGTCTTCTAAAAGAGTTTTGAAAAACTGGTTTTGCTTCTTCCTTATATATTGGGCAGAATTCACCAGTAAAGCCATTTGGGCTAGGAATTTTTGTTCTGGAAAAGTTTTTACTTTTTAAATTTTTATAGTATGCATAGAGTTATTCCAGTTTTTTCCTTTTTGTTCTGCAGTTTTGGTAATGTGTATCTTTTAAGAACTGTGTCCATGTCATCTCTTATTAAATTTCTTGGCATAAGTTGTTCATATTTTTATTATCTTACTATTTATACATCTATAGTGGTATTCCTTTTTTAATAATGATATTGGTCATTGATGTTTTCTTTTTTGTTTTCTTAGTTAACCCAGGTACAGTTTATCCGTTCCTTTATCCATCCAAAGAAGCATTATTTTCTGGCTTGTGTAATTTCTCATGAGATATCTTAGATTTCTTCCATTTTATAAAATGTGTCTCCTTCCTTGACTAACTTTTTTTGTTAGATGTTTTTTCTCTCATAATACTTTTCAGCAAGTTGACTGTGATACGTTGATGTAGTTTTCTTTGTGTTCATCTTATTTGGTGTTGGTTAAACTCCTTGAATATTTGCATTTCTAAGTTTTCAGCAATTTTGGAAAAACTCTAGCAGATATTGCTTCAAATATTTTTTCTATTCTTTTCCCTTTTCTCCCCACCCCTGGCACTCCAGTTATGCATATGCTAGACTATTAGACAGTGATCCCACCCCTGAATTTCTCTTTTCTTGTTTTATTTTTTTTTTTCATTCATTTTTTGGCAATTTCTCTTGCTTTGTTTTCAAGTTTAATTTTAGTGCATCCTTCTGTATTAACCTCAATTAGTGAATTTTTATTTCAAATATAATTTTAATTCTAGATGTCCCATTTGGTTTTTTGCCTTCCAACTCTTTTATCCATTGAATTTGTGTTTTCACAAATTCAAAAGTACATTATAGTTAAAATATCTGTGTAAATGTCTCCTAGTTCTATCCGCATCATAATTTCTAGGTCTATTTCTCTTTAGCTTTCTTTTTTATTATTTCAAAATGATATTCCACTTACAAATTGCAATGTAAGTAAAGAGAGTTCTTCTATCCCCCCCCCGTCATATTAACACTTCAATTAACCACAGTACAATGATCAAAACCAGGACTTGCATAATGATACAGTACTATTTGCTAGTCTGTGACATTATTGAAGGTTTACCGGTCTGTACACTAATTATCATTTTTCTGTTCCAGAATCTAATCTGTGATCTTATATTACGTTTAGTGTTCATATCTCCTCAGTGTTTTCTAATTTGTAAGAGTTGTTCAATATTCCTGTCAGTGAGCTTTTCACACTTTTGAGAGTATTGGTTATTTTATGAAATGTCCCTCAATTTTCAAGATACCTGCAAACTACACTAGTATCTTATTCCTCATGTGACCATTGTGTAACACTACTAACAACCAATAATAACAAACATTGAATGACACGTGTGTTGACACTAATCTAACACTTTACATATAATAATTCACTTACACAGTCACAGAACAAAGTGTAATTAGGGCCAGCACATTGACAACCAACCCAGAGGGCAAAAGATAACAGAAAAGACTGCTCGGAAACACTCACATTATCACCCTTGTTGGAGACCAGCTCCTTAGCTGTAGGAACTCTGTACTGCTGAAGTCTGCCTTACACAATGCTCGGCTCAGAGTACGCCCTCGGAAAACATTGAGTACATGATGAGCAGACAATTGAATAATCAGTACCCACACTAGCTGAGACTTGAAGGGTTTTTTTCCAAGGAAAAAGTCGATGTTTTTATCCACCTTGGCCTTTCAAAATGTGTAAGTTATTTTCTGGCCTTCTTTTTGGTCTTTGAGTATGCCAAGTTCTTTCCACACTGCAGCCTTTGTGTGACTGACTTGTCTCTATACACCTTCCTCAGCTCTTCACATGACTGGTTCTCTTGTCATCTTCATTTATTCCCCAAATCATTTTTTCAGAGACCCACCCACTGACCTTCCTCACTTGCCATCGCCACACTCCTGCTTAGCCCCCCTCCATCCCATGTTCCTGCCTTATTCTCCCCATAGGACCTTCCCTGACTGGTCAACACCTAACTTGGGGCAGCATACAGAGATATTTGTTGTGTGAGAGAATTAACTAACTGATCCATCAATTCATCTACATTGGACACCAAGATAAATGTTCTACAATGCAACACTGAGGCTTCAGCAGCCTCAGAGATGAACTGTGAACTGCAAGATTCATTCTGAGAATGGGTTTTCCATGGTGCTCTAGTATTAGAGCTCGAAGAAATATTTGTAAACTCATTCAAAACATGTACAGACCTTAAATTTACATGGTAGTGATCCTGGTCATTATATGAAATAGAATCTTTAACCTCACTGGATAAAGGGCTATGAGTTTTTCCATATGTGTGGCTGTACTAAAATATTAGTAAATTTGCTTTTACATGGCATTTAGAGATTATATCAAGCCAACAACTTACAGAAGCTTGAGATACTGTGATCTTTATAAAATCTTCGTCTTCCCAGAAGCTATAAATAGGATTTCACATCATGGTTTATCCATGGATTAAATGGGAATTTGGAAAATGAAAAATTTTATTTTTTTAGGTATTTGACTTTACCTTTTAGTCCAAGTTGAAAATCATGATGTCACTTGTAATGTGCATCACTAATCAAGAGTTAAGTAATAATTGAAAAAGTCTAAACAGGGTGTTATATATACCAGTTGTTATTCAGAAGATAAATTAGGCACAAATCAATATGGGTTTATATATAAACATACATAAGCCCACACAAACATAAATATGCCTGGGTGCACACACATATATCCTACTCTTCTTTTAAACTCTTAAGGAATTTCCAGTAAGACCCGTTTCAGATTCCATTATACCAAACATTAGGACACTTTAACTTACTTGAATCCTTTGGCTCGTTGCTTCTCTTCAATCGTTTTTCTAGTTGGTTGATGTGCTGAATTTGGGAAAGCTTCAAAAAATTTCTGCAAACTAAAACCACTTGAGTACACACTAAGAGCCTCTATCTTTTTCATCAAACCATACATATCTCTGAAAATGGTCCCAGGTTACCAACAATTTTTCCTTTTGTATATCTAATTTATCTTCAATTTAAATTTTTCTGTACTCTCAGCTCTCGGCCCTGTTCATCTTTCAAGATTTATGCTTTGTTCTACACTTACTGGTTTAAGGTGGTTGTCAAGGGAAATTGTCTTTGGTTGATTCTGGTCTATTTCATAACATGTAATCCATGCCCAGAATCGTATTTTTCTTTTTTATTCCAGGGCCTTCATAAGACACAAAGGCAATCCGGAAGTGAGAAAAGTGTATCCACTTATTGACATACAGTGTTGTTTATTTTTGTATATAAACTTGTGACAACAGTAAACAGGTATCTTAAATTATTAAAAGTGTAAATGAAGTCAAATACTACAAATCATCACTCCTGTGTCAGTACTGAAAAGGCAGATTGCCATCTGGCATGGTGATGCATATCTGTAATCCCAGCACTCAGAAGGCCGAGGCAAGAGGATTGCTGTGAGTTCGAGGCAAGCCTGAGCTGCATAGTGAGTTCAACGCTAGCTTGAACTACACAGTCAGACTTTGTCTTAAAAAAACAATGAAAGTAGTTGCATGGCTCTTAGTAGACTTGGACTCCCTGTCTTATATAATTCTTTGAGTCTCAGACAAATTGCTGGCCCACAATTGCCTGTTCTGTGAAATGGGACTAGATCATCAGTCATTGTCCTTTCTTGTAATCCCTGGTTCTTGGGAAGCCTTACATCCTTTACATCCGGGAGGAAAGTGCTACAGACCATGGTCCAGGGACTTCTGGTCCTGGGAGTCAAGTAAAAGAGTGCCCTCTTAGTGTTCTCGGGAGATATCCAGGACCTTGGGCCTTGTTTGAATAGTTGGAAGAAATTATTCAATTTTCATACCTTTTTATGTACTGTGATTTGTACTCTCAGAGTTGTACATTCCTTGGGGCCATTAGACTGATCAGAATGTTCCTTAGCTATGATTAATCGCACTTCACAGCTTTCACGCCAGTCACATACCAGCATCTAAATTAATCTTTACGACTCAGGGGGCAATATCTGTGTACAGGTTGTCAAATTGAGGCTGCAGGGCTGTAGCTGGCAGAGCCCTCCCTTCTACATACAAGGCCAGGCTTCCTTTTTGGCATGCATAAAGTTTTTATTCTCGGCACTGTTTGTGTAGCTTATGATCATTTATGTAGTCTGCTTTAATTAGGAATTGCATTTTAAGAAGGGAAAAGTCAGATTCATTCTGCTTCATCCCCTTGCAGATTGTTCTTAATGAATTCTGTAGGTCAGTTTATCCTCAGCAGTGAAGAGCCAGAATTTAAGTAAAGCTTCTGCTTAGCTTGTGAAGGTCAGATCTTTAATTCAGCTATCAGATTTTTAGCATTTACTGTACTTTTGTTAATAAACATTATTTTGATGATCTTGCGGTAAGTGTATTTAAGAGGGACGAAAGCACCAAATGAGATTTACGGAGGAATTAGCATCTTCGTAGACATTAAAGGAATTGTGACCTTACATGTGTGTTTTGATCAGAATGTGTATAAGGTCATGTTGTCCTTGCAAAAGAAAAAAGGAAGCCAAGAAATACCTTAGGTTTTTTAATTCCTTTAAGAACCTGTGCAAAATGCCTGTTATGTGCCAGACGTTCTAGGCACTGGATACGAAGCTGTCAGCATGGGAGACGGAACTCCCTGCCCCTGAGACGTTTCCATTCTAGGGAGGTGGGCAGACAAATGCCACTCACACAGAGTGGGCAGCTGTGAGGAAAGCTGAGCAAGAAGGAGACAGCATTCTGGGAGAGGAGAAGTCAAGGAATGCATCACCACCTTCATCTTATGGCATAGAAGTCTGATTTCCAGCAACATGTTTTGTAACTTACACATCTAGAATAAATTATTTTTAACCCTGTACTCAGTAAGACACCAATTTATAGTTACAACGCATAAGTTACATTCCTCAGGGGGATATTAGGACAACAACTTCCACCTACAAATCTATGCTTATCTATTCTGTTATACATTGAAGTCTACATAAGATTTCATGGTTTTTTAAAAAAAAAAAAAACCAAAGGAAGAAAATGAAAAGAAGTTTAGGAATTATTCATCTCAGACTCTTGTTTTCATTCATTTCTTGTATTTTTATTTTTTCCTAAGATGATGGCACCTCTTCCATAAGCTGGAAGTTTTAATATTATTTTGTAATTCCTTTGAACATTGGAAGAAATGCATGCTTCTTGGCTGGCTGTCAAGAGCCTGATGTTAGTCCTAGAAGTATATAGGGCAGGAGCCATTTTCTTTCCTGCCCAACCCGGCTGCTTTCTGTTCTAGAAGCTGGATGTGGTGTTCTGGATTTCAGGTAACGGTTTTCCTTTCCTCTCTAGATGGCAGCACAAAGACAGAAAAGGGGCAAGTGACACAGCTTCATGCAAGAATGAACTGCTTCCTGCAACTTCAGACACCCCCAAAGGGCTAAGACTTTTTTTCTGCACTTTCTAGAAAACCACCAAATGCCAAAGGTGTATTTTAATGAACCAACGAGGAATGCTTATTTCTTTGATCAGCAACGGGCAGTAGCGTTTATTCCTGAGTGTGAATCTGAGGCATTCAGGCCACCAACCTCTGCCCCAGCCCATCCCCTTAACCACGTGGATCTTTCCACTACAGTGCTTCAGATTTCAAAATGTCAAGAAGAGGCAACTCATTGTGAAATTTGGGTCATTTCTTGAGTCTGACTGGTTGGCTTTTCCTGCTTGGGTCATATTAGCATGTGTAACTATTACTGGATTTGGGGTACTGGGGTCTCCTTGTAGAGGTGGTTTCCAGCTTCCTTCCATTTTGAACAATGAATTAAGCAGAACAAGCATACATGGTAGCAAAGTTTCACATTTATTTGAAACATTAAAAGAAAAGGGTAAGGGAGAAATTGGCTCTACAGAGAGAGCTTGGGGCAAATAAAAGAGAGTTAAAAAATAAATAATGAAATAAAGTAAAAGTATACCCAAGGAGCACGGTGCAGGCTACCATGAGGAAAGCCATGGTAGTGTACTTTCAATGGCATCCTCTCCTTTTGTTTATTCCACACATTGCAGGAACCCATGCTCAGTTTACATGCTGGGTCCTGAGAATTTTCTGTGCACTTACTCCCCAAGCCGGCTTTGCTAGGCCCTATCGTCCTGAATCATAAGTATACACACAGCGATATAAACACAAGAATCCACAGTGAAAGCTGGACAACCAAATTTCAACCTTCACTTTACTGAAAATCTGACCCTTCCCTACTCCTCACCACTTTGGCAGCTTCTAATCTGTAACAATACCTAAATGTGCATTTTATGATCTCTTGGAGTTATAAACATGGCTTTGTTTTTAAAAGATTGGTCCAGTATGTGTGTAACTGTTACTTTTTAGAGTGAGGGCATAAGATATGAGAGAAAATTCGAAGTAGATGCCAAAAAAATAATTTAGTGGGGAATTCTGGTGCCTAGTAACTATGTCACAGGAGGCAGGGGCCGGGGCTTTTGTGCAAACGTGTCCCGGGGTTTTGAGTAGACTCATTCACTAGACATTTAGGAGCAATGGGGTAGCTGCTGATTGGTGATTTTCTGCATTTAAAGGGCATCCCCAACCTCTTCATAAGATCACTGCTTCTGAGTTTCTTACTCCATCAGGTAAGTTGAACCTAGTTCTGGCAAGTAGTCTAATTTTTTACACCCTCTTTCATATGTAGAAATTTTTAACTTCACGGGAGTTTTAACATTCCTGTGCTTCCACAGTGGAGAAAACAGTCTAAAAACTCCAACTCTACAAAGCCACCCATTTTAGTAAGGATCGAGTCTAACACATGCTTCCCCACATAGTAGTGGAGTTAAAATCTGGCTTCTTCCATCCTCTTCCTCTACAATCCCAAGGACTGTCATGAAGGTCCATGCCAAAAACTGCCCAAAGCAATTGCCAGTACCAGAGAGGTACTGCTAAGTAGGTTCTGTGCTCTTGAACGAATTGATAGCTTCTCAGGACAGGAGAGCCTGGTAGTGTAGTGGCTATCAGAGCCGGGTGGACCTCTCCCTGTACCTCTCTTCTTGCACAGAGATTTACACTGGGAGACCTCTGGGTGTGGGCTGGAGAGTTGGCCCGGGGGTCCCAGACATCAAGGCTCCTCAGTGCATGAAAAGCATGTTGACACAGGTCTGTTTCAACCACCGGCTCTACTTATCAACATGGTTTTGGTCCTCTGCTTCTGTCTCTTCCTTCTCTCCCTCCTCCTGTCTCCACACACTCACCCCCGAGTCACTGGACAGTGGTTATCCCTGAGTTGTAACTAGCAGCTCTGCTCTGCTACTTGTGTCCCACCTCATATTCCACTGGTCTCTGAGCTCGGAAGAACTAATACTTCAAATTCAACACACCTAAAATTTTAAAATTCTTTTTTTTTTTTTTTATACAAGTCGTGATACATTTCCACAAAAAGAGAAAGCAACAGCGATCTCCACTGTTCACCAGTTACCACACAGCCCCCGTGGATAACTATTCTTGGCCCTAATTCAGATCTTTTTCTTAGCTATCCAGTTTCCAACATCCAGCTTCTGCCCTTTTTCTGGCTAGCCGTCCTATAGTGACAGTTTGTACACTTCACTTCATTGACTTATTTAGAAATCACATCCTACTGAGTCCTTCAGATATAAACCCTTGCACTCTCAAATAAGCTCTTTCCTCTCCACGCCCACTTTCACCAAACATAAGGCTGTTTCCCGGATGCACTGCGAGTCCTCGCGAGGGCAGAGACCATATGGTTCTGTCTCAAATAGAGACACACCCACAGTGCTGGGCGTGAGTGGAGTGTCCCACACTGGGAGCATGAGTCACTGATGGACAGACGAAGTGACACTCTCCTTCCCTCCTGAGTTGCCAAGGACTTACGCTCAGTGCTGGAGAAGAGGTGGGAAATGGGGACTGCTGGTGAGAATCATAAAAAGGTGCACTTTCTTGAGGCCAAGTAAGAAATACCAGAGGCTTAAAATTGATTGTGAAATGCATGTCCTGCAAACATGTCCTATTTTTAAAAGATAGTTAAAAATATATAATGCATTCCAGCAAAATCCCAGGGATTTTATAGAAATAAAAGCATTATTTTTTTGTATTGGCAGTTTGGAATATATGTTATTTCTAAAAGGACTAAAGGGAAATAAGCTTGGAGAGATTGTCTGAAATACATATGAGCTCTTACCACATTTATGTGTAAGTAAAGGGGAAAAGATTCAATGTTCTGTGAGATTAAATTATTAAATTTCTAAATGAAATATAAAAGTTATAGGCAGCTCATGTGTCAAAATTTCAGCCTACATGTTTATGTTTCTGTATAGCATCTTCTATAATCACAGCTATGTACCCTTTCTTTGAAGTTATATATAACTTAAAACTTTCCTTCATGCATGTAAAATATGTTGCCATTCGTCTTCAGTTACATTAAGTAATAAAATGATGAGGGAAAAATTTACATTTTCTTTCTTCCCAAAGTACTCACTGTTAGAAATGCAATCTGAGAAAAAATCACTAATGTGTGAAAAGATTTAGCTACAAAAACACTCACTGTAGGACTGTTTAAATAACAAGTAATTGAGGTGGCACCTAGGTTGGAGGGCTGAGGGAAGTAATTTTTAAAATTTAGTAGTGAACTTCTTTCCTACTTCCTTCATTCCCTCCATCTCTTTTTTCTTTCCTTTTCCTTTCCCTCTTTTAGAAATTTTCTATGATAAACGGGTATAAATATATCAATATAAAATAACATTAAAATAGTTCATTTATATATTTAATTCCTTAAATTTTTTCTCAAAATTTTAATTATTTTTAAAAATTGTGTCTCATTTAGTTAGTTTCTTGGAGAAAGAATTGTGCCACATCTATTTTAGTAGTCTATTCTTTGTACTTAAATTCCACTCTTTGTACTTAAATTTTACTCTTTGTACTGTCACTATAGGGCGCTAGCTATAAAATGGATAGTACTTTGTACTTTATAGTCTTTGTACTTAAGTACTTTGTACTTAGCAAATACTATCAGTAAGGACATAATGACTGTTCTATCCCCAAACCTTTAAAGGTTTCAGATCCCTGTTATGTCATTCCTTGCTCCTTCCTTATCCAGTCAAAAACGTATGTTTGGGGCGCGTACATGGATGCTGAGATTATCGTTTTCCTTTGAGCTAAGAGCTCTTGAAATCATTGCAGGCACTCTAGGATAGATCACAACCAGGGCTGAGAAGTACTGCTCCTATCTACAAAATTGAGGACTCGGAAAAACACAACTGACCGAGTACCATACAGAAAAGATTGTTTCATGTTTGCCGACATTCAGCTTTTTTTTTAATAGCAGATAGTAAGATAGTAACTGTTGGCTTTCTATCACTGAACAGAATACCTGAGGTAAACAATTTAAAAGGAAGAAATGTTCATATTGGTTCATGGTTTCAGAGTTTGTAGTCCATGGTTGCTTGGCCTTGCTGCTTTGGATCATGGCTGTAGCCACAGTGGATCATGGCTGGGGCACGTGACAGAGGAGGCCTGATTACCTCATGGTGGCTGGAAAGCAAAGAGAAAGGAAGCGGCTGGGGTCCCTACATCCCCGTTAAGGGCACTCTCCTAATGACTTCACTTCCTTCCATAGCCTCACCTCATAAAAGTTTCATCACTTTCCAATAGTACCACAGATTGATACCAGTCCATTAGCATGGGCTTTTGGGAGACATTTAAGATCCAAACCGTTATTATAACCCAATTATTTGACCTCAGACAGAGCAAGAACTTTAGAGACCCAATTCCTGAGCACTAGTAATGAGTTTTTCAAGAACTTTACAGGGATGTGTTAAAATGGATTGTTACTGTATTTCTAATGGTTTTAAGGTTGCATACGCCCCTTCTAGAAGTACATAAAATTATACGATCCTGGGCTAATGTTGTATTTCTCCCTCATTTTACCTGATGTTAACTTAATAAAGCAGGCTATAAAATTTTGATTTGTGGAGACATTTTTAGGAGATTGAAACACATTTTTTGCTTCATTATTGCCCAAAGAACCTAAATATTGATAAGTATTCTGTGTAAAAGAAAAGATACCGTGGCAAAGTCAGTGAATTATGTCAAAATGAATAAATTCCTTTTCTAATTGACTTTGGAGGACAAATCTTAATATGCATTGTGAAACTACTAGAAATATGCATTTTAGTATCCCCAAATACAGTTTATCACTAAAACCTTTTTTCTCATGTAAATTGATGTTTGATGAGCTATGTTTGGGACCCCGCCTTGTACTTTCTTTTCACACATAATAGCACAGGTGATGGTCACAAGATTTAGTACAGATCTTTAATAAAGAGCACAGACTACAAACCAGTCTGACCATACCTCCAGTCTCATGGCACTAGGCCCTCCGGCTGCATCTCCTTCCTGCTTCAACCTACAGGAACAAGCAGAAAAGCCTTCCAAGTGAATCCTATTCCAAATTCTATCCATTTAGGAACCCTTGGATATTTGATAGTTTGTTGCAGATCTGAAGACCCACAGTTGTTTAACATTTCCTTATACACATATGCCCATGTCATTTGGCCTATCATTGTACAGCAACTAAAGACTTTAATATCATCATCCCCAGACAAATCTAGTTGTATTCTATTAAATGTTACTTATTATGGTGTTAAGCAGTTTTACTAGAAGTTTAGGCCAACTTTCTGCTATTATTTCAGTCTCAAGGCTCAAGTACTCCACAGATTTAATTCTCTGTTTAGACTTTCCGTCTAAGCCTGTGACATGAACATCAAGTTGCCCATTTGACATCACATTGGAGTATCTTGAGGCCAGTCCAAACTCATCAGTTCTTTGATGGGAGGAAACAAAGCCCAGAAAGAAAGCAAGAAATGGAGGGAGGAAAGAAAGAGTGAAGGAAGGGAGAGAATTGGGTAAGGAAGAGAATCTTAAAAGATTAATCAGCTTGACTTCAGATTTCCATAGCTTGACCAAGTCCCACAATCCACAGATTTTTGCATTATTCTTTACACTTCTCTGTTTCAGTCCTGACAGCCACACTATGGTCTGTAAAGCCTGACAAAACCACTTCCTTTGCTCCATCTCAGCCACTGCCATGTTAGTTTGAAACACCACCTTCTCCCACCAGCCTGCTGGCATGCCCTCGAGAGCCCTGAACCTGCCCACCCACTCCCACACCTTTCTATATAATAGCCATTACCGACTACCTGCTTGCCTCCCCCGACCCCTGTGCACACTCCAGCCTCCCTTTTACCTCCCAGTGGTTCCTCACTGTGCTTTGGATGAAGCCTACATCCTCACCGAGACAGCCTTGCATGCTGTTGCTCTAGCCTCCCTTTTCTGCAGCCACACTCCCTTCAATATCCTCAACCATGCCGTGCCTGTCCTGGTCACATGGCTTTTAGATGACATCTCCTCTCCCGGAATGTGCTGCAGCCCCTCCAATGAGCTACATCCTCATCTTCTCTTAGGTCTGGTCTTCCCCATGCCACAGGGAACTCTTGGAACCTAGGAAGTCTCAGGAAGGCTCCCTTCACCTCCAGCCCAAATTGCTAGTCACAAAGACATTTTTATGTCTGTAGGCCTGACAACTAGAATAACATTTATCTCCCCCATTGCACTGAAGCTTCATGAAGACAGAAAACATTTTACACATCTGTTCATGCAGAAAGGATTAACACAGCAAGCCTGAGATGCTGTTATGGCTTGTGTCTAGATGCCCCCTCAAATCCTCATACAGCCATAGGTGAGGCTTTTCAGAGGTGGCTGGAGCTAGAGTGTGTGATGCTGGGATCAAGGGTGTGCGATTATTGAAATAGTTTACTGATCGGGTTGGCATAGTTCAGGTAGGTTTAGCATGCCCCACCCTGGGTGTGAGTGCTACTGTCCTACGGGTGCATAGCCTGGATGAGATATAAGGGACAGAAATAGGATCTCTCTGTCTGCTTCCTGCTTACTGTGTTCTGCCTGCCTGCTCTGCGATGCCCTTCTGCCTACCACCCTGCTTGGAGCCAGCCAACTATGAACTGAAGCCTCTACAAACTGTGAGCCAAATCAACCTTTTCTCCTTTAACTTTGAGTGTTGGGTATTTTGTCTCAGCAAAAAGAAAGTAACTAAGACAGATGCTATCTCTAGAACCCTTTCTTGTAAAGATGGCCTTTGACTGGAGCCTAAGAATTTGACTGGGAAACAGTGGTGTACACTAAGAAACATTGCTACGATCAAAGTGGCTTGTTATGCCTGCTTTGTTGGGATAAGCAGTGTTGTTTATGCCAAACACCTGCTTTGCTTTGTGGCTGGAATTTTGGTACATGTCTATATGACCAGCCCCCCAAATGTCTTTAGGTGTAGAGTCCCTGATGGGCTTCCCAGGGCAGCAACATCACAGGTATGGTGCTGAACTGCTGTCGCTGGAGTGTGCAGAGAAGAGGGAGGGAGTACAAGAAAGCCTGTGTGTGGATTTTCCCCAATTCTGCCCACATCCTGTACCCTTCTGGTTGGGCTGTACAACCTCACCCCACCATTGCAACACATTTGATCTATGAGTGAAGCCATATGGGACACCTACATCCTTATAGCAGATATGCAGCCATGGGATTATCTTGGGGACCCTCCATACACCATTGTATCCTAAGAAACCTTCCTCTTATTCGAAATTTAGTAAGTAGCTAACTACATATATTTTGAGATGAAAATGATCCTAGAGGGCCAAGGCCAAGTATATTGTGTGGAAATTCTCAAAATAACTAAAAAACCTATAATTTATCAATTATATCTTAATGACCAAATTACAGAATCCCAAGGAGCACATCCTTCTGAAAAGGGCAAAATAAAAAGTTATTCTAGAAATTTGGCACAAAGCAAGGCCATCAAGACGTTTCTACATGAAGACGAATTCTTCTTTATTAGAAGCAGTGGGGAAAGATGATGCAGGAGCTTCATTTTGGCACAGAAACTGTCTCACAGTCTTGCTGTCTCCTCTTCCCCATGTATGTGCATTGTTGCCTAGTTTGGTCATGGACAGTGACACTTCGGCATAGGGCAGGAGCTTCTCAAAATTGGCTGCATGTTGCAATGGTTGGGAAGCTTTAAGAAATCTTAATGGTGGGATCCACCTGTAGACACACTACTGTGACCAGGATGGTCATATGGATGCCCTCCTTATGCCTCACTGCCTTCTCCTTCCTCTCCCACCCTCACCTTTGACAATCAGACTTCATAAGGGCCACACTAATGCCAAGGCTACTTTAATCTTATTTTCAAAACACCTTAAAACTTCTGGTTCCCTAGCTCATAGCCAATCGGTGGAACCTCAACAGCATATAAAGACTGGTGTGACCAGGATAAGCCAATGGAACTCAAAGTCATCCCAGTTGGGGCTACTCCAGATGAGGTTAGCCCTAAAGCTATCACCTTAGTGCGAAGCAGGCTCAATCAGGAGAGGGTTGTTGTTAAC